GTTCCATGTGAAGTCAGCTCTTTCCCACTAAACCTGACCAAATGCCACCATATCGTTTTAAATAGCATAACTAAAATATACAATGTATATAGCAAAGGGAAATCATCTAAAGAGGTTTATATGCGTTATTGAGAATCTACACCTGCTTCATATGTAAATTTTCAATTTTTAGATTTCTGTACACTGATGAAAGAAGAGACATTATCATCACCCTTTTTTATATATTCTTGAGTGTTTTGCAAGTGATATGTTTAAACTGTACATATTTTTACATCCAGTCTAAAGTATTTTTCATAATAATTATGGTTGTAAGTCTAACGACTGTTTCATGATTTGACCGTACCTTTACACTCAAGTTTTATTGTTTCCTCACCAGTGCTGATATTTTAATACTATTTATTAATTCCAGAGTCCAGTATAATCTGAATTCTCTCACTGAGGTGATCACATTTGATGAGGAAGGTGTCTGCGTCTCCTTCACTGGAGTCAAACACTGTATGAGAAATAACCCAGTGGTACAGGTGAGAATGGTGAAGAAGTTCACTGTAAAACTTGGTGAAATCCATCTGCGATAATTACTCAGTGCAGTATTATATAACAGTTTTTTTAGACTTTTGAGTGGTTAAATCTTTAATTGAGACACAGAGTGGATGATGGAAATTTTAAGATAACTTGTGCAGAAGAACCATGATATCTTTTTAGTAGCGGTGTATTCCTTCAAAATGATAACAATGTGTGAGTTTCAGTGCACTCTTTATTGAAAGACGTTGTTCACTTGTAACTGTTTATTGTCTTCAAAATACCATGAAATGTTTTTGGTTGGTGAAACTTGCATGTGAAATATCTACATTATATATGAGTAATCACTGTGTACTTCCAGATTGATGTTAATGATGCTAATTGGCATGAAGTGGTGTTCACATGGTCCTCTAGTACTGGACTTATCGTCACTGTAGACAGTGTGGTGGTCATCAGGAATATGACCTACGCCCTCGGTCTCACACTGCCACCCTTGTGAGTTTACTGTTACCTAGAGTTTTATTGTTTGTATTGTTTCAAAATAAGGTTCTACATGTCAGATTTCTATTCTACATGAACTTGAATGGCTGATTTTCTCAACAATTTTGAATTAAGAAATATTATTGCATTATTTGTGTTGATAATATTTTGATGTATTTTAATTTTACTTAAATGAGTGATTATCTGAATTTTTCTGCTTTACATTTTCAAAGAGCTTAAATTCAGTATTATAGACGAATTTGTATCTAAGGATAAAAATTTTGTTCCTTGCCAGCGGCTGGTTTGTTCTTGGAGGCGAGTACGACCTGGACAGAAGAGCCGCCGTAGTTGGGCAAGGATTCCAGGGCTACCTGAGCAAACTGACTGTGTTCAACCGTGTCTTCCCGCTGGCTGATATCCCTGGCATTGGCACCGACAGGTTCAACGATGACCGCATCTTGTTATGGGGAGACTACAGACTGAACAGAGGCTGTGTGAGGACAGGGAGCAGTACCGTGGGCACCACGCCCTGCCGCCCAGGGTTTGTGGGGCCAACCTGTGACCCTCAGCCAGGTAGCTTCACTAGATAGCAAATTGAAATATGTCTGAGAAGTTGTGCACTTAGGAACATTTTTTATTATTTTATTTTATTTTTTTTTTTTATTTATTTATTTTTTTATTTTTGACAGTACCCTAAATTTTATGTAAACTTTCACAATATATTAATTACTATAGGTAACTTATCCCTTATCCATAGCTGCTGCTGCTTTCAGATTTTATAACATATACAAATAAATATATTTCACTTTAAATTTGTATGGTATTATGTAAGGTATTAAATTCTGTCTATTTTTAGATGTCACTCCCCTCACGATAACCTGTCCAGCAGACGTGCACCTGGTGACCTCTACACGCTCCAAGTCCGCGGAGTGGGCAGACCCAGTGGTGAATGGTGCTTACAAGTCGCTCACACCAAGCATGATGAAAGGTAAGAACAGAACAAAGTCAATAACTGGAACATTCAGCATTTTCATACTTGACTGGTAATTTCCTTCATTCAACAACTGGAAGTTAGCATCAAACATTATGGCAATTGAACACATGATTTATGATCATGGCACTTTTTTACTTTAAGGTCAAACTTTGGCATGGGGCAGACACAAGGTCACATATCGTGTTGAGGATTTTGCAGGAAATGTGGCTTTCTGCAGTTTCAAGATTTTTGTCAGATGTAAGTAATTCCAGATATTTTTTTCAAATGTGACTATTTCTGACTTATTTTCAAACACATTTATTTATTTATTCATACATTTGTATAATAATCTTATGTATTAATTTTTTCATTATTATTATTATTATTATTATTTCACCATTGTTATAACACTATCTTGTCCACACATTTCAGATGGCTGTACTGGTTTATCTGATGATGGCGTCTGTTACTCTGCCTCCACTGTCACAGCTGTTCACAGTGACGTTAACTCAGGTTGTTCTAGGCAGTACGGTCTGAACACGGCCCCAGCCTCGGCACAGCTGCTGCAGAAACTACGGGAGCATCTCACCAGTCGTAATGCTTCCGGGGACTTCTACTGGCTTGATGCCAAGTGGGATGGTATGAGTTTTAAAGACGCTGGAGGAAACACTGTAACTGTGGCAGGGTCAGAGCTGGCGTCTGCGCTGGGTGGGGCTCTGTAAGTAGACCTCTGTATGATATTATAAAGTGGTCTTATTTTAAGAAATATGCATCCTATTTTGTACATGTAGATATTAATTAGTAAAAAATGTGTATCAGCTTGACTCATTTTGCTCTTTAAACATACATGTTTATGGTCTACAGACAAATGCTTTTTTGTTTTGTTTTGTTTTTTATATTTTCATTATAACACATGCTGTAAGGCAATGATGTTTTCATCAGCAGTTACTTCACATAAATCAGCTGTGTAATTTCATATATATTGTGTTATGTAGGCCCACCTCAGGTAATGAAGGCATGTGCCTGGCGCTCAGCAGGAGTGACGGGTTCAAAGTGACAGTCCAGAACTGCAGCAGTAAAGCCCACTATATCTGCAGCAGTGATATCACAAGTAAGTGGTAGCATTACTCGTGTTCACTGGCTTTGAAATATTGGGCATTAATGTATACACCAAATTTTGAAATGAAGTTATAACTAGTTATCTCTTTTGATTACATATACAGATATTCACATGTACACATGTGTATTTTATTTTACAATATTTTGATACATATTTTATTCAGAATAAGTTGATAGTCCAATGTCTACATGACTTCTATGTCTAGACTACCACCACCACCACCACCACCACCACCACCACCACCACCACCACCACCACCACCACCACCACCACCACCACCCATACACACACACATGCACATACACATACACTTGGACACACACAGACTAGCCTGATTACAACTGTGATGTTTTAACTCTATAGGTGGTAATTGTGAGACTCCAGCTCCTATAAAGAATGGCGTGTGGGAGTGCAGTGACGGAGGATCTCAGTGTCGTCAGTGTAAAGTGAAGTGTAACCCCAACTATGCTGTACCAAGACGCATTCCTGAATACTTCAGCTGTGGCCCTCTGGGATACTGGGGCTCTGCCAGGACGCCATCAGCCACATTCCGTGTACCGTCCTGTACATGTAAGTGAAAGAGTTTCCTAGAGTTAGTTTGGTTTTATGCTGTTTAGGAGTACAGTTAGCAATAGGTCTAGCAATTTGGAACAGTTTGTTTATTTTCATTTTGATTGAAATGACAATTTATATCTGTGGAAGTGAAAAACAGTTGGTATGTGATTTTGTTATCATAATGTAATATCTGGCTAAATGACATGATAAAACATTTTAAAAAAAGTATAATTGTTCTTTGTTCTTTCTTGCAGTAAAAAGTGACAAAAGAGTGAGAGTATATGTACGTATCCGTATACAAGTGCCAGGCCCCCTCTCGACACAGCAAGCCAATGCCATCATGGTTGCCATAAGAGGCCTGATCAGAAGCCATTTTGTAGTTCTTAACAACCTCTGGAACAATCTGTGGTGCTACATCACAGACTGTTCTAGAAAACTCTCCGAAAACAACATCACAGTAATGCAGAGATCGTCTGCAAGAAGGAGAAAACGTCAGAGTACTTCTGAGTTTGATGTTACCTTTTCTGTTGGTGATTTACCCGAGATGATGAACAACACAGGTGGAAATGAAACATTGACCCCATTGCAGATTCTCCTACGGGATGCACTGCAGCAAAATGGATTTAACTTTAATGTAAGTCATGCTTTGATTTTTGTTCCAAAATGACACTATGAATCCATTAGTCTGATATAATTCTTCAGAATTGATATCTATGTAAAATTTTTCTACAGACTTCCAGACAAGGGATACATCCAAACTTAAGTACACTTAAGTAACCTCAGTATTTTACACTTAAAGTTAAAACAAACTTTTTCATAAGAATGTAAACAAGAATGGTATTGTTTCAAATACCTAAAAAATATTTCAAGAAAATAACATGTATAACCATATTGTTTGGTAGTACTGAATGTTCCTAGTCAGTTGGTGTCATTATAACATTGGTATTATTTCAGAATGACATAGCGGGCAGTGTCACCCTCCCTGACCAGACGGTGATCACCTCCGAGCCGTCCTGCGGCCCCGGCCAGACCCTAGTGGGCACAAGCTGCGTGGACTGTGCTGAAGGTACCTACTACAACAGCTTGACCCAGACGTGTGACGACTGTCCAGTCGGTCAGTTCCAGAATATGACCAGCCAGACGTCGTGTATGATGTGTCCAGGAGGTGGCACCACTGATGGCGCGGGGTCCACTTCTGTGGCTGACTGTAAAAGTAAGAACTTTGTTTTGAGCACAGATAGGCATAGATGTTGTTTGAAAAAATGAAAAAGGAACAGTTTTAACTTAAAAGTATGAATTTAAATTTATATTTAAAAGTGTAAATGTTGATTGGAAAATGGAAAAAATGCAGGTAAAGGGAGACATGATGATTGATTTTTTGCATCTCCATTGATAGACAGTTATCAACAAAATGACAAAAATTCAGTCATATTACAAGTGATATTATAATTTTTGATTACAAAATACTTGAACAAACATGTTGCTTGTTTTCCAGTGTGTTAACACTACAAATATTTTCATAAACTATTAAATGAAGTATGGAATTGAGTGTATATGTTCCTTATGTGTCTTCAATATGACTGACACGCTATATACCCTGATATTTTCAGTATCATGTCCAGCAGGCTCTTACTTCAGTAAAGTCAGTGGGTCCTGCAGACTTTGCCCGGTCAGTTACTACCAGGAGCAGACTGGTCAGTTCAGCTGTGACCCATGTCCAGTAGACAAGGTGACCAGGGACCCAGGAGCCGATAACTCTTCCATGTGCTTCGGTCAGTATAAGTGATATTTAAAAGTGATTATTGAGAGGTTTTTTAATACTGCAGTGTGACAGGTGCTTTAAGCAATCATGAGTTTTAATTGGAAATATTATCAACACGGCAGGGGCAGATGGAAGCCTTCGTCTTCTAGGTCTACCAGAAGATGATCAAGTTTTTTTTTCTTTCGGAAGATGATCAAAAATGAAAGATGCACTAACAAAGATTATTTGGAAGACTGTCAAAAAATATCGTTGGATCCACCCCTGAACAGCTAGATTTTAGCTGCAATGCTGATACTCTTGAAAAACCTTACATGGGTCCTTGTGAAACATATGATAAAATTTTGATAATTTTGTTGTTTAAATAAATTTTATAATATTAATAATAATAGAAAACATAAATGCAGAACACAAATTAAGATACATGAGTTATGCATCAGACATCAGGTATTTTAGTATCAGTAAATAGTAGTTGTAAACATTGTATCATTATTTAAGTTATTCTGTAGGTGAAATGCTACTCAGCTAACATTTGTACTTTCATTCTTTCCGACATGAAATAAACTTCATTGTACTGTATTGTATATGGACACATACTGGTCCTGCTTCCTGTACAGCTCTGAGTGACCAAAACTTGTCTTTTCTAGATGACTGTCCCAGTGGCAGTGAGCTGGATGACCAGGGTCAGTGTGTCAGTTGTCCACGTGGTTACTACAGACAGCAGGGAGTCCAGCTCAGGTGTACAGAGTGTCCAGCTAACTTTATCACACCTGGCAATGGTAGCATCACTGTGGCAGAGTGTACAGTCCGTAAGTATCATAACACCTGGCAATGTGGAAGAGTTTGAACAGATATTAGGAAACATTTACAGGTTCTTTTGGGAAGTAAAATTATTTGTAAAATAATGATTACAGTTGAAAAGGCTCTGCCTTTTTGTTATTATAAAATAGGGCTTTCGTTTGTGAAAAGTTTCTCCATATTTAATGAGAGCATGTCTGGAAAAAGTAGAAAGACAATTCAGTGTGTTCTAGAGTGATAAGTGTAATAATTATAAAGATAATAATACTTTGGTGTTGCCCATATTTCAGCTGACTGTCAGCCAGGCTCCTATATAGACTCCAATACTTGTACAGCCTGCGATAACGGGTTCTATCAGCCAGAGAAATGGCAGACATCTTGTATCAGCTGTGGAGACTCTGCAAACTGGAGAACAGATCAGATAGGATCCACCATGCAGTCTCAATGCAAATGTAAGAATACATAACCAAATCAATGGATGAGTGATTGTTTTTTTGACAACTGTATGGTAAAGAATGTCAGAAACTGTGGGCCGTGTTCTGTTATTTATTTATTTATTATATTTTACAGATTATGCAGTGATTTTAGATGTTTGAATTACCAATATGATAATGATGAATTTAACAAGATAAAGCAATTGTTTATCTATTTAAATACAATATTTTACAGACTACTGCCCATCAGGGTATGAAGTGCAGAACTTCACCTGTGTTGCATGTCCAGTTGGTACCTATAAAGATATCTCCAGCGGGAACTACTACGGAATGTGCGACCCATGTCCTAACAACAAGGTGACAGAGCAGGACACCTCTATATCTGTGGACAACTGTACCATCTGTAAGTAACAGGATTTGATACTTGTATAATGATGGAGACAAAAGTTGCATGTTGTACAGTTTTTTGCCAATATGTCTTATAAAATTACTGGACAATTCTTTCAGGATAATTCCATTGCAGGTTTGTTTAAATTACAATTTCCAACCTAAAAGGCTGATGTGGTACTTTATTTCAAATATTCCCTCTTTATTTCCAGCCAATTGCAGTGCAGGCTATGCATCATATGAGGATGGTTCAGGGTGCTACCCGTGTCCCCGGGGTACCTATCAGCCAGAATCCCTCCAGAGACAGTGTTTACAGTGTATCAACCGTACCATGTACACCACACTGGATGAAGCCAACACAAGTCCCAGTGCATGTACAAGTAAGTCTCTGAGTGGTCGGGACTAAGGTTGGCTCTGATAATTAAATTATGATAATTTAGTTGAGATACTTTAGAACTAAACATTTTAGTTTTTCTTGTGGGTTGGGAGACTGTCCTGTGATTTGAGATGGCTTTTTGCTGAGTTCTGCTACAGTATAGTATTGCAAACATGACTTTTATAGGTGAGATTGGAGAAACTTTACTTTTTCTCTTTTTCTTCATTGTTTAATTAATAACTGTGATATCTTATCCAAATGAATGAGTCATTGAATGTTTTGCAGCTGTAAAAGAATTTCTGTATTTTTTGTCCCATTCTCCTTCTTCCAGAATTCTGTCCTTCTGGACATGAGATTATGACAGATGGCACGTGTCGGCCATGTGAGCGTGGTCTCTACAAGGACAACCTGGTGGGTCCTGACTTTGAACTGAACAGGTGCACAGCCTGCCCGCCTGGGGTGGTCACAGACATAGGAGTCACCGCTGCCACCAATGCCAGTATATGTACTTTCTGTAAGTAGAGGATTGTGTTGTAACGTCTTTTCACAGGATGCTGTTTTTCTTGATTTATGCTGCCCCCTAGTGACCAGGTGGAAAACTAACACAGAGAGCTTTCTGTACTAGCTTTTTCTTCAAGTATTTTTTTTTCAGCTATAAAAAAACCATATCATGTTATTTATATGAGAACTGTTGTGCATTTCAATGATAAATTGGGGAAATGCCTAACTTGTTCACAGTATCTTCCAGGAGTGCAAATTACACTTGAAAAATCTAATTGGAAATTGTTTTTCAGTCAAGATAAATCAGTCTGATATACCATATGTATCATTGTGTCTATTCTAGTGGCTTGTGATCCTGGATATTATTACCTGAAGCCTGCCAATGCCTGTGAACCATGTCTGAAAGGAGCATACCAGCCCAACAAGTGGCAGGCACAGTGTCTGCAGTGTCAGTCTGGAGAAACCACCACAGGAACAGGCTCTATTAATGAGACACAGTGCCTTAGTAAGTACACGTGTTGTAAGATACACATTGAAGATTATGTATGGTCATTGTGTTCCTGTGTAAACTTGGCAAAAAACTTATTTTTTATGTATGATTTAATTTATATCAGAGGTTATTGTGTGGATATCACTGAATTAACTCAGCAGTATCTTCTAGCTGGCACATAATAAAACTTAACCACTTAATTTGCATCTCCTTGTATTGAATACATTCAGTAAAAAAAGAGTATGTAGTATACATGTACATATACCAGCACATGTGATCATCAATTTATGTATTCAGTTGTCACAGGGGACTATTAGCAAGTTGACAAATGCAAAAGAATAGTATGTTCAGTACAACATATCTGATGTATGTATGTTTGGTTTCACCAGAGTACTGCCCGTCTGGG